CTCAAAAACGTTCATCATGTCTTATTTTAACTGTGAGAGTAAGAAGTGAGTATCTGACTGTTCTCAATCTTCTAGTGTCAAGCAGAAAGGAAAGGAGCTGCTCCTCTTCTGCTCACTTGTCTGTACAAAGAACAAAATACATTTTTATTACATATGATATATCTACACGCAGATATTATAAGTGAGGACTTTTAAACTGTGTTTAATCTGCTTGATTAAAAAATCTTTACTGTACCTCTGGGAACTACTCTCTTCTTCTATTGCTACTGTTTTTGGCATCACCGAAAAAAAAAAAAATCCAGCCGCACCCGACTATAAGCCGCAGCCTTCCATATGCAGGAAAAAATCTGTGGCTTACAGTCCGAAAAATACGGTGTATGTTTTCAACCACACAATGTTTGGTATTTTGAATAGATGTGTTTTCTCAATGTTAACACAGGATTTAATTTATGAACAAAGTGTCTTATGTATGAAAAAGTGGTAGTAAGTAGTAGTAATAAGTAGTAATATGTAACTTACTACTAAAAAAGTAGTGGTGAGTGTGTTGCAGAGATGAAAGTAGTACAAAGAAGTACTTTTATTTAGGGAACCGTTAGACTGTGTTATCATGATATAATTTCTTATCAAATATGATTATATAATCGTAATGTAAGTGAGTGAGTCATCTTTATTTATATAGCGCCTTTCACAGACCACAGTCACAAAGCGCTTTATAAAAGTGGGCATTTCACCTGCAGGGGCAAAAGAGCCATCGTCTGTTACTCTGGGGCCAGAGCCATGCTCCCTGTGTGCAGACTGAGGCCTCAGAGCAGGTGTCGGAGGTCAGGCTCAGGGATAATATCTCCGCTACATTCCTCATGTTCCGGCTCCACACACACTGCTCTGTTCGGACTCTGCTGAAGTCCAGAGGAGCTTACCATGCGATGAATGTGTTTCTGGTGAGTTAGAAAAACAGTGTTTATTGTTTTTGTTTTGATACATTTGTACTTCTGTTAGTGCCCAGAGTCAGAACTAAACATGGGGAGGCTGCTTTTCAGATTCATGCTGCTAAAATCTGGAACAATCTTCCTGAAGATGTGAGACAGGCCTCCTCTCTGACAATGTTTAAAACCAGGTTAAAGACAGTTCTGTTTAGCTGTGCATACAACTGAGGGATTTTATATTTTTATCTTTCTTTCTAATGTTCTGTGATTATTTATGATTTTAATGCTTTCTTATTTTGTTCAGCACTTTGAATTGCCTTGTGTATGAATTGTGCTATACAAATAAACTTGCCTTGCCTTGCCTTGCCTTGCCTATACACCTGGACAGTGCTAACCCACTGGCTCTATGAAGCCTGATAGGAATGTGCTCATGGTGAAGTTTTTATCCAACTTTCTCTGACTACTATTGACTTGCGTTGAAATGTAAATTCAGCTCAGTCTGGATCACACTCACTATTTTGAGCTTAGATCTATGGTTTATGGTTTGTGATCCTGGCATTTCTATTGTGATATTGTCTTTGTAAATCCAGATATGATCCACATAATAATTGACCAATCAGATTCCTTCATTCACGGGGGAAACTCAAGCTTCCCTCAACAACCATTGGATCAACACCATCGGGATGCCCATACAAAGAAAATATCTCATAACTAACTAAAATTGGCTTTTTCCTAACGCTATGGTGATGTCACACCTAGTACAGTAAAAGTGTGAAAAGTAAAAAGCTTGAGCCATGTTTGAAAATGTTATCAACTATTTATTGTCTTCTTGAACTAGGTAACAAAACTATCACAAAGCATTAAAAACAGCATTGTACAGCTTAAAGACCAAAAACTAATGGTACAAAAACAACAGCAACAACAACAACAGCAACACACACAACACAACGACCTGTCAGTGTGCAAACAGCATCACGCGCCTCCAAATCAGATAAATTATTTAAATAGCTACATCTAAACTCTCTCAGTCACTTCCCATTCACTCACAGCAAACAAAAGCTAACAATAACTTATACCAGCTAAAGGAGGTGGAAAGCATTGTGATACGGGCAAGTCTACACTCGAGAAACTATTTACAGCTTACAATAACACTACAATTTTAAAGTACTTGTGTTGGGTTTTGTCTGATCAAATTGTACAACAGCATTGAGGTAATATTTGTACATTATTTTGTTTATAATTAATTAAAAGCCTAGTTTCCACCAGCCCCACTCTCATCAATTCTACTTCCCTCTTGTCCCCGGTTCGATCCAGGCCGAGCTGGTGATAAAGGGTTCTGACAGTGATTGATGCTGCGGGAAGCCATGGTTACCAAGGATTTCCCCGCGGTCGGTACCAGATCCTAAAGCGTTATGGATATGCAACCAGATAGAGTAGTGTAAAGTAGAGTACAGTAGAGCTGGGTAGAGTAGAGCAGGGTAGAGTAGAATACAGAAGAGTAGAGTAAGGCTGGTGGAAACAGGGCACACATTACCCTTCCTACCGATATAATAGTTTAAAGCATAGAACAGCAGTTTACATGTGGCCTGCAAAACATGGAATACCTGCATAGTAATATATATATTATATATATATATATATATATATATATATATATATATATATATTCCATATAATCAGTGGCGGGCCATGCATTTCAGACCTGCACCTGCAGTGATGTCCTAACCCAGCGACCTCCTTGTTTTTTTAGTGCCACAGACCCCCCCTACAGCAATGTGCCTCCTGTGTTAAAACAGAAGGAGGCACATCGTTGTAGTTAGTACACATGCATGTCGCACTTGTGCACAATACGTTTCTTCTCTGACGGTATCTGAGAACATGACTGAGTGCAACACGAGCGTTCAGGACACAGTTTTGAGTAATAATGTGGGAAATTCCAACTACATTATATGTATTGCGTGTGAGTTTTAATGTTCTGTTTTCTTACCGCGGCAGGACGCAAGTCAGCTTGTTGTCAAACCGTTATTCCCATCGACTTTTTGCCTCATCTCTGCTCTGGCTCTCCTGGCCCCTCTGTCTCTGTTTTTCTTGAGAATGGCATTCTAACTATCTACCCGAACAATATATCTACCAAAACTAAAACAAGTTGTGGAGCTACACATTTTAGCATTATTGTTTGTTTCTGTCTATCACATTAACGCGTCTGCATTGACGTCAGTCTTTATTGTGTATCCGCACTAAAGACGTGCAGGCTCTGCAAGCTGACCCCGAGGGAGGAAGCTGACACTGATTGGTTGATGCCACACCTACTGTGGACCAGCAGTGTAGATTCTGAAGGCCTAGAGGCAGATTTTGATTTTGAAATGCTGAGTAATGATTGGATAAAAACTCTGTCTTAGACGCCAGACCTCCCAATATCAACCTGGAGTTGGAAGCAGCGCAACCAACGTAGTTTGTGGAAAAATAAACATAGAAATATTAATAATGATAATTATATATTATACATATAATAATGTTTAGGCCAGCAGAGAAGGCCTTGCTCGGCCTTGAGGGTCCGCCACTGATATATATACATAAAGGTATCAATCAAAAGTTAGGTACCCCAGGTTTAAGTTAAAAACGATTATTTATCCTTAATTTGTGTCCTTTGAAACATATTTTTAAAAAATTGAATATAAAGACATCTTTTATACGTTTCTGAATGGTAGATTTGTAATGCAGACATCCAACTGCTGGACTGGGTTAATTGGCTTTGAAATATTCATATTTCTTTAACTGCCTACATTGTAGACAAGAGTCAATAAATTACATGTATTTACACAAATTTTAAATCCTCACAAGCCGAAGATAATGACAACTTTGAAGGCGGAGCATTGGCTTTGAGCCAGCTACAGTTTCTGGTTCACCTGAGAAAGAACAGGTGTGAGAGCAGTACTGTGCAAAAGTCTTAGCTTTCTAACAGAAACAAACAGTAGTAACATTTAGAACAAGAACAAGAACATTTACTTTCACTTGAAATCATAAAAACAATATATTTTTAGATTTGAATACATTGGACATTTGAGTCAATCTCTGAATGAGATTCTATAGCTGATTTTTGCTCTCTTAAAAACATAAAAAAATAAATCAAGAGTTATTCCTCACGGTAGGTTGCTAGGATACCAGATACTAAAAAAAGCGTTGGAATTGAAATGCAACCGAGTAGAGTAGAGTAGAGCTGAGCAGATTAGAGTAGAGCTGAGCAGAGTAGAGTAGAGTAGAGCTGAGCAGAGCAGAGCAGAGTAGAGTAGAGTAGAGCTGAGCAGAGCAGAGCAGAGTAGAGTAGAGTAGAGTAGAGCTGAGCAGAGTAGAGCTGAGCAGAGCAGAGCAGAGTAGAGTAGAGTAGAGCTGAGCAGAGCAGAGCAGAGCAGAGTAGAGTAGAGTAGAGTAGAGTAGAGCTGAGCAGAGCAGAGCAGAGTAGAGTAGAGTAGAGCTGAGCAGAGTAGAGCTGAGCAGAGCAGAGTGGCCTGGAGGAAACAGGGCTAAAGATAAGGAGAAAACGAGTTTCTGTATTGTCTGCGGGGATGCTTTAAATACCTTAAAAATAAAATACGTATCAAAATCAGCTACTAACATTTTCCATGACTAAATTTCCTTCCAAAATTGCACATCCCTCCTTCTAAAACTTTTGCACAGTACAATATACAAGACCACTAAAAAGAAAGCCCTATTCCAACTATCACATGAAGAGAATCATATAATAAACGGCAGGCATTTTTTTGCATCTTTAAAAGTTCTTGAAACATATTATTAAAATGCAAAAAGGGTTTTTTTTTCTTTGGGGAAATCCAGTCAGCAGATGAAGATGTCACAAAGGAAACAGGATCCGTAGAAGTGCATAATGTTGAGGGAGAAATCCACCTGAGATGGAAGGGTTTAAGGAAATGTCCTTTTTTGCAAGAGGGGGGAGGGGTTTGGTCCGAAGCGGCGCCTTGGCCACCCTGTCCTGTCCGAGTGGTCCCTGGGCTTCAGTTCAACAACAGTTCCACATTTGTTCAAAAGAAGGTGCATTCCTCAGAGCTGACTTGCGTCCAGCGTTCATACATCTGTGATCAGAGAGAGAAGAATTAGCATCAGAACAGACAGAGGCCACAACAGAAGTCTCCCGAGATGACTGCTGTTGTGATTTAAGGCGATACATAAATGCATTGAATTGAAATATGAACCATGTGCTGAGTGGATCGAAGCCCTACGAGTCGGACTCACCTCTGCACTCATACTTGAGGTCAGAGAAGTATACCATCTCTTGTGAAAACACAAACAACCCGAGTCTCCCTCCGGCATACGTCTTGTCGTAGATGCTACCCGAATCCGCCATGATCTTCTTCCCCTCATACATCACCACTCTGTGCCACAGGGAAACCATTTTAAATCAGGTTCTAGAGGTTTGTATTCATAAAACATTAAATTATGTGGATCTTCTAGACAAAATGTATGATAGCAATGGGATTACCTTGATATGTTTTGACAGTTGAAGTGAAAGTTGGAAGGAGGAAGGTAAACATTGCTATCATACCTTTGTCTTGTTTAGAAGAACTACATAACTCATGGTTCCATGTGTTTGTGGAAAACTGGACCAAACGCTGCCCACCTGATGTGGCCCGTCCTGGGTCTGTGGATCAGGTGCCACCTGTACGCCGTGAAGTCCTTCCAGCCCACGTTCTTTGGATCGTGCCACAAAGTACGGACCTAATACATAACAATAAATACGTTTTAGAATTAAAGTTTTAGTTTAAGAATTAAAACGCTTTTTTGTGAATAATAATTTCAAAAAATATCCAAGTAAAGGCATAGGCCAAATGCCTTGCTTCCAGGTCTGTGACGGATGAGGCAACAATGTTTTAACAGCTCAAATACGTCAATATTGGATAATATGTACATTTCAAATCCTATTAAAAAAATAGTGTCAGTGCTGAGTGCATGCTGAGGCCGTTTGGGTCGCACCTGCCCAGGCGTGTTGCCCGTGTGCCACAGGGCGTTCCTCAGGTGCTCCCCGGGGCCCGTGGTGGAGTTGACCACTTTAATGGACAGGCCGGAGTAGCCCTGGGCCTTGGTTGGCTTGTTGGACCAGTACGTCTGCGTGATCTGCTTCCACATGACCACGTAGAACCGTGAGCTGGACTGGTACCCAAATACGAAGCCTGCATAGTCATCGTCTCGCTCCGTGTTGATGAAGAAGGTACCGCTGAAGTCCACTGAGTTGAACTCATGGTAACCTGAGGAGGATCACAGTCTGTCACATACTGTACTGTTTGTGTGTTTGAAAACAGAGACCAAAGAGAGAGACCAGAAAGATCAGAGAGGGAGAACAGACACAGAGACCAGACAGAGACCAGAGAGGCAAAATCCCCAACTATAACAAATTACTACAAGCTGTCACGGATGTTAAAGAGCAACACACGCTACTGAGGTCTGGGGAATGGAGAATTCTCATCAGGGTCAGTTGGCTTCACACAGCATCTAACCACTAGTGAAAAAGTTGTTATCCTTCATAATCTCACAAATGACATTTTGGTGCAGGGGTGTAAAGACCCCAGCACAAGGTTATCAAACTGGTACAGTACCCAAACACTGAGTAGACTAACAGTAACAGTTTGTTGGGGATGTTCATATCTCTCACTTTTCCATCAATGGACTAAAGTGGAATTTTCAGAGAGGACACATTAAGGCTGTACCGAACAGTGGGTATTACATGTAATTTGGGGAAATCCCAAAGTGAGTTGGTGTTGAACATACCAACAGCGATGCCAGGATCACAGTTGACGGTCTGGACCAGCTCTTTGCCCTGGTGTCGAACCACCCAGTTGGGGTCGATCTGAGAGGTGCCTTTAGGGTCCAATGGAACCATCTGGAACTTTCTGAAGTCCGTCTCGCTGATGTCAAAGTTCTCCGGACACACGTCATAGATGTCCGGCACGTTGTCCTGGTCAAAATCGTCCTTGCAGGCGTCACCACGGCCATCACCTGCAAGAACAGAAACTTTCAAGTCCAAACTCGGCTCCTGTGGAAACATATTTGCATCTCCGTGTGAATGAAACCTCTGCCTACAGTATCATTACTCCCAATGTTTACATGTATTTAACACAATCCCTTCCTGATTGTGAATGTGTTCAGAAGACATGCATGTGGATTTCAATTGTTTGATTGCTCTTGAGAAAGAGGACCATTTTCAGTGTGTTGGAACCCTTGAATACAGCTCACAGGACTCTTCGAGGAGGAGAGGGTTCACAGCTTCAAGTTTCTAGGAACCCACGTATCTCAGAACTTTTCTCCAGCCTCATTAAGAAGGCCCACCAGCACCTATTTGTATATAGGACTCAAGAAGAATCACATGTCTCCTGCCGTAATGATTCAGGGTCAGGGCCAGGACCAGGGTAAGGACCTGGACCAGGATCACAACAAGTGCCAGGACCAGGACAAGGACTAGAAGACTAGGGCCAGGACCAGGGCCAGGACAGGAGACAGCTTTATCACAGAGCATTTACACGCTTGACCTCTCACCCTGTTAAAACATGTTAGACACACTCTCATTGGTCAGAACGCTCACGTGTTCCCTGTTCCCGTGAGAAGACATCTTCGTTGCCAAGGCTTGACTATAACATGCCATTGTAGCACATATAGATGTATAGATAGATAGATAGATAGATACTTTATTGATCCCCGTAGGCTCAAAAAGCTAACAATAGTAATAATCAGCAACATGAAATATGAAGCCTGGTATTATATATTGTCCTGATTGAAATAGAGGAAAAATAATGGGCCGCATAGAAACATGATCTGGTAATTATGCAGTCTGTGGGCTACACTTTTCCGGTTCTTATGTGTTTAAACAGCTCCTCTTACCGTCCGAGTCCAGCTGGTCGGGGTTGAAGACCAGTCTGCAGTTGTCCTTGTCGTCAGGGACTCCATCATTGTCGTCATCGTGGTCACAGGCGTCTCCCTTGCCATCCTTGTCGTGGTCGGCCTGGTTGGCGTTAGCGATGTAGGGGCAGTTGTCCAGGTTGTTCTGGTGACCGTCCTCATCAATGTCCTGGTTACTGTCGCACTTGTCCCCAACCCGGTCATCGTCAGAGTCCACCTGAGAAAAGAGGGAGAGAATGATGGCTTATCTCTTAACTGTCCTTTTCATTCAGTTTAGATGTTCCTGATAAGAGTATGTCCTCAGGCAGCATAATATATTGTAAACAATTCATTATTGCAATACAGGCAAGATCAATGTTGATTTGCCATTTGCTGCGAGAACCCACAAACTCTCTCGGTCTGTAGCCCGTTTCCACCTGCCCTACTTAGCCCTACACTATTATTTCCTATGATACTCCATCTGGTTGTGTTTCCATTACGCTCTTGTATAGTATGGTACCTTATCCTATCAACCTACCCACAACAAACCAGTATCCATGGATGTTCCTTGGTAACCATGGCTTCTGGCAGCACTCTAGCCAGTCACTGCCAGTTAGAAAACTTTAGTGTCAGTTTGACCTAAATAGTACCAGGGCAAAAAGGGACCAAAGAAGGACCTGGTTAAACCGGGTGCGTGGAAACACCCCCAATCGGAGTAGAGTAGAGAAGTGTTGGGCCAAGTGGGACTGGTGGAAACATAATTTATCCATCCATCTTTTGGCCTTGCTCCCACCACCAGGGTCTCGCCCCCCGGGGGATTTAATCTAATAATCTCTTATTCAGTTCCCAATCTGCATTCCTCAGTACTCTGCCAGGGTCTAAGCGCCAAATCATAAACACATTTCATCTACGTCATGTATTACATGTAATTCTGCGATAGTCTTATTTGATAATTTATACATTAACAGATTTTTATGACAACCAATAATAACACTTTGTCTGAGTCTCTCCAGATTAAAATACTTCTGATTCTCGTTGATATATTCTCTTTTTCTACTGTTCATGCTGCTCATCAGAGGAAAAGTCTGTAGTTCTTGAATTCAATCTGTTTCAAAGGCCACAAGTGTAGATTCCGCAGCCCTTCCCCCTCCTTCCCTTCTTCCCCTGGTCTTCATCACATTCCTCTCCCCTAGTGTAGCATGGCACAGGTGGACTGAACCAACCTTGTGCTCTAATACCCCCAGCCCGAGGCCAACGAGCGTCAAAGGGGCCATTGAAAAGGCCCCACAGCGTCAGCACCACGCCTAACTGAGCCCATCGACCCCTCCGCTCCCTGGGCTGGAAAAGAGACGTTTGTAGAGAGCCAGAAGGCAGGGGGGCGGGGAGGGGGGATTAGGGCTGGGGGCCTGTGTCCACACACCTGGTCAGGATTATGCTCCAGGGGGCAGTTGTCACACATGTCCCCTACGCCGTCCAGGTCCGTGTCGCGCTGGTCCACGTTGTACACGTACGGGCAGTTGTCCTTCTCGTTCACGATTCCTGAGGACACATATGATATGAAGCTAGAGCGGAGGTTCAAAAAAGACAGGAAGAACTAAGCTCACTTCTCAATCCTCCAACTGCAGCGCCACACTGCCAATCCTCACCTGGTAGCAATTATGTATTGCCCTGCATCAAGCTTCATTTTGTTCAGGAAGCTTCATTCAAGCAGCAGCTTTCATCAACCCTCCTCCTCCCCATCACCACCTCGTCGGCTGGACCAGCTCTTTCACCCCTCTCCCAGCTCCCATCAACAGGGTCTAGGCCTGGATGATTTCATCTCATAATCTTTAGACTTGTTTCCCCTTCTGCATTCGACATGTAGGGCTTTGCTAGGGTCTTAGCACCACATCTTTACTATCACAGCTTTAGAACGGAAAAGTGAAACTGCTCAGACAGTCAAAGAACTTCATAACCCAGCACGAGATCCCGGCATTTTGCAATCTCAATTTATAATCTCATACCTCTGGAAACGTATCTATAAAGGGTTCTGTTAAATGTCTTTTGTGTGTATGTATAATTTATTTTATTTATGTACCTTGATATCAATTTTTTCTTTTATTACTTCTTTGCACATTGAGCCAAAGCAAATTCCCAGTCTGGGACTTCCTGTTACTTACAATGGAAATAAAAATAATTCTGATTCTGATTCTGATCACATGGTTTAATAGTATTGGATTCACTATAAAAAGAATCTGTGTAAGACTTGATTCCTAATGTGTGTGTGTATATGTGTGTCTTAGTTTGTTTATCTCTGTGTGTTTATGTGTGTGTATATGCATGAGTTAGTGTATGTGTGTATCTCTAAGTGTTTGTGTAAGTTTGAATTGTACCGTCTCCGTCTATATCTACGGCACAGGCGTCGCCCTCCCCGTTGCCATCGGTGTCTGTCTGGTCGGGGTTGCTGTTGTAGGGGCAGTTATCACAGCGGTCACCCACATCATCGCGGTCGTAATCGTACTGACGAGGGTTATAGATGAATGGGCAGTTATCCTGATCAGACAGAATACATGAAGGAGGAGGTTAGACAACGTTTGTAGAGAAGCATCGAGTACAAGAGCCTATTCCACTTGGCTCTACTCTACCTGGTTGCGTTTCCCTATATTTTAGTATCTCATACCGTATCCTAGCAAAAAACCATTATCCGGGAAAATTCCTTCTAACCAGCTCGGCCTGGTTAGATCCAGGGCCACGAGGTACTAAAAAGTACCTGGTACCAGATAAACAGAGCCAGTGAAAATGCTTACAATTTTGCCATAGAGTAGAGTAGAGTAGAGTAGAATAGAAGATCGTAGAGTTAAGTAGGGCTGGTATGGTAAGGTTTTTTTTTTTTTTTTTACTGGGACAGTGTACAATCAAAATTAGCCAAAAGGAGAGACGCATTGTACCAGGTTGTAGCAGGAATGCTAATTTACATCTGTAGTCCCTGAGCAGGTTGTTGTAAAACAGTAATATAAAAGTAGTTGGATACATTATCAGACAATATCAGACAGAAATTACTATCTAATTTACCATACAATTTATCATAAATTGTTCCCATTCTTCACTTTCTCTCAATACATTCATCCATATAATGAACTCACATGCTTGGGAACAGATTTTGTTGCTCCAAGAGCCATGTTTTTGTCAGGCTTGTGAAGACTTTTAGTTCAGTTTAGTTGTGAGTGAGTTCCACTCGAAGGCTGACCTACTGAAAGAGGTCCTACATTTTGGGACGCTGCACTCTCTTTGTGCTGTATATCAGCTGTAGCTGGTGGAAACGAGCTAAAGACAGTCTTTTACGTTTCTCTCCTAAATGTTAATGTTTCTACAGAGGGAATTGGAGCCAAACTTTACCATGAGCACTTCCTTATTGAGCTTCATTGAGCTAGCAGGTGTTGTAGAATTACATACCCCAATGAAGGAGAAAGCTCAAAAGTATTTGTCTTAATCAGGAGCGTAAGTTTATTGTACACACGTGCGGAGAGCTCACATACACAAAGCAGCGTCCATAAGCTCTAACGCGGCCAGACCAGGTTCCTGTTTACATAGACAACACATGAAAGACAGTCACGCCCACAAAAGATGGGAGGGGGTCACCAGTACAGGAGGCGCATCCAGAGGCGAGGCGCCATGCCCGTGGGGAGGCAATCAGACCGTGCCATAGAGATGCAAACAGAGAGACAATGGACATGCAGGATGTAGAGATGCAGACATACAGATGCAAGATGCAAAAGGGACAAGGGTGAGACAGTCATTGTCTGTAGGTGCGGGGGGAAGCCCGGCTCCTTCCTGCAGGTTAATTGAATAGAACCAGCGGGGGGGGGGTGAGTTGGCGTCCCCGAGTCTAGGCAGCTTGCCATCACACAGGTTAGCTGTGTCCCTCTGTATACAGTCTATGCTTCTCACAAACGCCTCATACATTTGTCTAACATCATTTTCTTATATGTACAGAATTTTGGTTATAGGTTAAAGCCGTAACCCTGTTACCCTATTCAGATACAGTAAGTATGTAAGTAATCTTTATTTATTTACCGCCTTTCACAGACCAGAGTCACAAAACAATTGTTATTATTTTGGGCATTTGTCCTCTCACTCCACACAGAGATAGGAGCGGGGTCGCCAGTACCGGAGGCGCATGCCAGACCTATTGTACATATTTTTAGAGGTAGGGGAAACCGGCGTACCCGGAGGAAACCTACGCAGACACAGGGAGAACAGGGTTTCACCTTTTGTCTATTCCATATTTCTCATAAAAATGCTGGGACCATCCGGGTTTCCAGCTCCTTGTCCTGGTTCAGTTCATGATGTGAAATCTGTGGATGGATTCATTACTAACCCGGTCATCAGGAATGCCATCATTGTCATCGTCATCATCACAAGCGTCTCCAATCCCGTCTTTGTCATAGTCTTCTTGTCCGGAATTGGGGAGGTTCGGGCAGTTATCCTAAAGTAGAAAGCAGCCTGTAAATACTGTCTTTAAAAACATACTCCTACAGCAGGGGTCTGAAACATGTGGCCCGCGAACAGGTATTCTGTGGCCCCTTCCTGGACAGAAAGAGACCAGAGAGAGATGAGAGACAGAGAACAGAGAGAGACAAGGAAAAGAGACCAGAGGGAGAGACCAGGAAGAGAGACTACAGGCAAACCCATTATAGCTCAAACATACACCAAATTTTCATGAATGTGTATTGTCCTTGTTCAAATAAATAACATGAAATCAAATGCAATCAAATTAAATAATTAATGCATTAAAACATAATTAAATTAAAATAAATTAGATAATAATAAGTATATCTATATGGTGGGCTCTCAAGTTTGCCAGGTAGTAGTGGGGTGTAAAGCCTAGTCTGACCTCTGTGGTGCAAGTCTACACAGTGTAGTCCCCTGTGATGAGGAGTGTGGTCTGACCTTCTTGCAGTGGTAGGTGGCGTTCTCCACACAGACCAGATCGGCGTTTGGCCATCCATCCAGGTCCGTGTCCTCACCGCAGATGTGGCCGTTGCCCGCGTAACCGGGTTTACACTCGCACCGGAACATGGGGTCGGCGAAGTGGCCCAGGTAGTTACACCGAGCGTTCTTGTTGCAGTCGTGGCTCCCGTCCAGACACGGGTTACGAGGCGTGCACACCTGAAGGAGAAAACAGGGAGGGCATGCTTTGAAAACTGAGCAGAATCAACCAATTGTCTACTCTACTCCCCTCCAATCTACTCTGCTCTACTCTACCCTGATTGGCAGTTTTTCCTGTTTAACCAATATCATGTTCTTCTTTCGTCCCTCTTGGCTGTGGTTCTATAAAGGCGGAGCTGGTATAAAAGTTTTCAAACTAACAAAGCCATGGTTACCAAGGAATTGCCCCGCATACTGGTTTGTTGAGGGTAGGTTGCTAAGTACTAAATGTGTAATGGAAACGCAACCGGACAGAGTAGAGCCAAGTAGAGTAGATTAGGGTAGAGTAGATTCGGTTGGAAAAGAGTAGAGTAGGGTCAAATTATTGTATATACTTCATTAGAATATTATTTATATTATTTTTATTTGTTCTAATCTCATCTCAAGTTCACACATTTCTGTTGGCGAGACAATGGCTTATGATCCCAACAGTAGGTCCCTGTCACACACTCAGATTCATGTTTCTGCCTCTGAAGCAGGTGCCAATCGTCTCCCAGTTCAAAGCTTGCTGCGTTTACACAAAACACAGAGGAACAAGACGGACAAATAATCCCTGCTGTACTGGTCCTCACCCGTGTCCGCAGACAACCACCAATCTGGAACAATCACTGTTTACACTGTGCTCACAAAACCATAGCCTGTATACAGACGGACAAGGCAAACCCGCCAGCTCAATGAAGCCCAAAAAGGAAGTGCTCATGGTGACTATTGACTTATGCAGAAATAAACTCTTATAGCTCAGAACCGTTTGTGTTACATTCACCATTTTGGGCTTTGGAAATTTGTGGTCCCCTGAAATTAAATTAATTTCAATGTATTACCAAAATCTCAACAACAGTTGTCTCAGAGAACTTAGTTTTGGATTTGCCAACAACATCAACAAGGAAGCCCATAATGATTGTCTTTGTAAATCCAGACATAATGAGGAATGAGGGCATCTGATTGGTCAATCAGATGCCTTCATTCCCCCTTCATTCCGGGGGAAGCGAAACCCCTCCAAACATATACCATCCATCCATTCCATCCATTTTCTTCCTCTTAATCCATATTTGGGTCGGGGGGGTGTCAGTCAGAGCTTCACCCAGTTCACAGAGCACCAGCCCCTAACTGATCCTCCTGCAGGTGGTGAGTCCACAGGAGCTGAGATCTTTCAGTGGGGGCTTCAGGCAAAGTGGGGTTAAGTGTCTTGCCCAAGCACACAACGACAGCAGTCATCAGTGGGAGTCGTGAAGTACGTAGGTCTTGAGGTGGGCTCGAACCCACGACCTTCAGGCCCAAAGGCCAATGCTCTACCGACTGAGCTACTGTCGTCCAAAATATCAATATAAGGAAATTGGCTTCAGCTAGCTTATGTTCATATCAACCTCTTCCGCATCAAGGCTAACACTATGGGGATGTCACACTCAGTGGCGTCCTGATATACTCTCTCTGCACAAAACCCTGGTGCCTCCATTGCTGTTTGAATGCCGGCTGTACACACTCACCTGTTTGTTTGCGGCGGCGTACTGGACACCTTTGCCAAAGGGCTGGGGGCCGGAGTAGCGGGGTGGGCACGGCAGGCAGTTGTATCCCGGCTCGGAGTTCTCACAGCGGTGAACGCCATTGAACTCGAAACATGCGTCTGGGACCTCCTTACACTGAAGGGAGACGGCAAAGGGACAGAGAGGGTTTAGCGGCAGATCCTGAATCAGTTATAGAGACATAGCAAAACACATTATCCCTCTGGCTGTTGTTCCAAGTTATGAACACAACCAGATGTGTGTCTGTGTCAGTATGTTTGTGTGTGTGTATGACTTATGAAAACCAGTATATGTGTCTGTGTGTGGGTGTGTGTGTGTGATTAAGTGTGTTTGTGTGTGTGTCTGCGTGTATAAAATACTTCTACTGCGTGTCTGTGTGTGTATGTGTATGTGCGCATGCCTGTGCTTATGTGTGTGTATGAACTACCTCTCAATCATAAGAGGCATAAGCAGATATGATAGTTACAGATTGAGGAGAGAGAACTTTGAAATTATTGAAGCTGAAACACTATCACAGTGCAGTGGAAAAAGGTAACAATCATAGTCTCACCTCATCCACATCTTTACACCTGATGCCATTACCAGTGAAGCCGATGGGACATTTCCCGCACTTCCAGGTTCCATCAGGAAAGCTGGTGCATTTAGCTCCAGCGAAGCAAGGATTGGACAAACAGCCATCTGCAAATGAGCCAAAACCAAAGAGTATTAATTACTCAAGGTTTGATTCAGCAACTTTTACTTTGAACTAACTATTAACTGTGATACACATGCTGTTGTTCAAGCCCCCCCAAGTAACAAAATATTAAAAGTGAATTTATAAAAGCAACTGATAAACAAGTCTCTCACCAATAGGGCAGGCCTTCTTGTTGCACATCTGCGTGTCCTTGGCCTCTCCCACACACTCTTTGCCTCCGTATTTGGGTGATGGATTGTTGCACATGCGTTTCCTAGTCTGGACTCCGCCCCCACAGGTGAGCGAGCATGTATCCCACGGCGACCAGGGCCCCCAGCCTCCGTTGACTGGAAACAGAACAGAGCAGGAATGAGGCGGTCCCAGGCCCAGAGCAGAGGGTGTTGGGGTGGCGGTACTCACTGGGACAGGGAGACTTCTGGCACTTCTCCGTCTGCCGGCCCTCCCCCACACACTCCTTGCCCCCCAGCTGAGGAGTGGGGGAGTTGCAGAGGCGGATGCGAGTGATGACGCCGGCACCACATGTGACGGAGCAGGACGACCAGGGCGACCAGTGGCTCCAGCTTCCATCCTGCTTGACTGGAATGTCGTACATAAAGCTTTTTGTTGGATTCGCTCAAAGTGAAACTAGGAGACGCAGCTTTCTTCCATGAAATCATGATTTTGTGAGGTCTACACCAACTGGCCTCATAGACATGACCAGAGAGACACCAGAGAGAAAGACTAGAGAGAGGGACCCAAGAGAGGCCAGAGATAAACCATAAACAGACCAGACACACCAAACTTAGGCCAAGAATGCAAGAGTGACCACTTGAAACGCTATCGTGTTTTTTGCAAATATCTGGCTACAGAGTTCTTCTTATGATGAAGCAGACTATGTGTGGTGGTTCCTATTGGACAAGATGACTGTCCTGTCCAGAGAGAGAGATCAGAGAGTGAAACCAGAGAGAAAGAGACTAGAGAGTGAAATCAGAGAGAGAAACCAGAGAGAGAGAGAGGTCAGCGAGAGACCATAAAGTCACCACAGAGAGACTAAAGATGTGAAACCAGAACGAGAGACCAGAGAGAGATCAAGAGACCAGAGATAGTCGTACAGGATACTAAAGCATAATGGAAACGCAACAAGGTAGAGTAGAGTTAAGAAGCTGGTGGATAGAGGGTGTTAGCTTTTTAAAAGGTGTAACGTGTATGTGTACAGTAAAAAACAGAAAAGTGTGACAAATGTGTTGCCGTACATCTCTTGTCGCACTCCTGCAGGTAACAGTCCCGGGTCTGGACAGACGTGCCCTCACAGTTGTTGTTGATACGATCACAGGACCGCCCCCTCTGCTGAATGCCCCGCCCACAGGACACGGAACAATGTGTCCATTCTGACCAAGGAGACCAGCCGTCTTCCGCGTAGTCGCTCGCTGTGTGTGAGAGAAACAATCATTTACACATTAAGCTGATGCTGAGGAGGGAGCTGTGAAGTGGCCATTACTAAAAACACACACACCTGGACTGAACCGGGTCTAAACTGGTCCAACATGAGAACAGTCGGTCTCAAGAGGCTTAAGCCAGGGCTATACCATCCATAACAGGCTGAGAGAAATGGGATTTTCTAAAGTACTTTTATGGTACTTTCGACTGCATTCAGATGGTCATAGCCAACCTACTAGCTCAATGAAGCTCTGGCTCATTAACCGTTTGTGTCATACTCCATACCATGGTGTTTATATTGTGATATTGTCTTTGTAAATCCAGATATGAGCCATAGAAAGATTGACCAATCAGAGGCCTTAATTCGCAGGGGATACTCCAGCTGGTCGTAGCAACACCAGTTGCACTTAATTTAAAGGTCACCTAGAAGAGCGGTTGAGAGACGTGTGTGCAAGATTGATAATGTTGGATCTACATTAGGATTTGTGTGTAAATGGACCATGTCGAGTGAAATATTGGTCGATTGTAAGGCAGGGATGTGTCCAATGTGTGCAAAGTCTCTTAGTGGATTATGAATGTGTGAACTGTGGCCTGTGTGGTAGTGCAAGCTACAGTATGTTGGAATGTATGTTGTTTTGTTTATTTTCTGTATATTACCACTTGTGACCCTAACCCTATAGGACAGGTGGAAACTAGCCTTTGGGGATAATCAAACATGTTTACATTCATGTTTCAAAGTCTTTTCATTGACATGCACTGCTCCATGCAAATAAATACATAAATAGTTACGGTGCGAACATTAAGGCCTTAAGGTTCCAAATTAAGGCGAATACTATGAAGACGTCACATTTGATCAGTCCAATCCAAAATGTCACCGATTTTTTTTATCGGAAATGGAGATTGTGACACAGGCTGTTACTGAAGTTAATAGGAGCCAGAGCGAGTTGGAGCAAAACTTAACAGCATGAGCACGTGCCTATTAGGCTTCATTGCGGGTTAGCACTGTCCTTCTATATACAGCCAGGGATTCAAACCCAGCTGTACACCTGTGCCTAATTCCCTGTGGAAGACTTTTTAATTATAATGAATCTAATGAAGACCAGACGTGCCCTGGACCTGCGCTCTCCAACTGGATCAGAGCTTAAATGTATTCCGGAGAACAGAACTAAAAATCAACTATTACTTGGAGAGTGCATACCCCTCCAACAGCTTGGATCATTTTGTTAATGTAGAAGGCAGACCAAATATACTCTTATGCCTAGCGTACATCGGACTGGCAACTGATTATATCCGTCGCCTATGAGTTGCTGCCCCGCACACATCGACAATCTGGCGAAAACGGGGAACTCCCAGTAGCAGACCAGTCTCGGGAATAACAGCGCGTACATCGACAGCAACTGGCCTCAACTACAGTGTGTTTTCTGACATAAACTGTAGAGGGTGCGCAATACACACGCGTTGTTGGAGTGCGCCATGGATCTATTAGGAGCGTGCACATCGGGTAATATCTCCGGATCTGGGGAGAACTAGTTGCCAAAAAGTAGAACACGGGCAACTGACTGAAACCGGAGATCGACTGTTTATCTCCAGTTGTAAGAGCGCTCACATCAACCAATTGTGTCGCCCGGCAACTGATCATCTCTCATCGTCTACTCTCAGTTACCAAAAGCCGCCTTGCAACTAGTTGTCTCCAGTTACTCTGTCGATGTACTCTAGGCTTTACAGAGGTGCAGATGCAGGCGTTGGGTGAAGGTGTGTGAATGGAGGTTATGGAAACTTATTCCGAGGTCAAATTTCATTGAGGGAAAGTAGTAGGACCAAATGTGAAATGACAAATGACTTGAAGAATATCCCACTAAAATATTTAAAATTCAAAGGAAAATAAATAATAATAATAATAATAAAGTTAAAATAAATGTTAGTAATACACTGTGACCTCTTTTACCAGAACATTGTAAAACTAATCAGAAAGATGGTCTCTTGTTCTAGGTTTTGATCAGAAACTAGCAATAGGTTTCTCATTATTGTGAAATATCAATCATCCAAGAGCCAGTGTCTTTCAGACCTATGGGAACTTCCTACCATCAGATCTCATCTACCCACCCAATTTCAGATCAATCCTGAGTACAGACACACAAAACTGAGGCCCGTCTCCCCTTATGGACGGGGTAAAGATGGCAAATGGAGGATCTACAGTGTTCAGCAGAGTGGCAGTAGACAGAGACTGCTCTGTGTAATAATCGTCTGGAATAGTGGAGCCACTGTCCTCGGCTTCAGTGGATGAACAACATTTTCTATTGGAGGAAACACATAATAAAAACATGACCTTGGGTTAAATAACAACCCACAAAGTGTGTGAGTTATTCTGGTTTTTAGGAGCGGAGAGAAAATGTCCTGAAGTTTCGAGGAATGAGAAGTATGTCATTGTGTCATTTTCTCTCAGAGCGCACGATGAACAGAAAGGCAATTTTCCATTTTTCCAATTTTGGTCAATTACAGTCAATTTATGTAATGTTTAGAGAACAAAGCACACAATGTTTGGAATGAGAGACACTGAGACGTGCAATTCATCAACGTTATATTTTCTTTCTGTTTAGTTTTATGTTGCAAAATACTTTAAGATTAAATCATGTCAGGTCTTGTTGAAGAAATAGAAGAGAATATGCAATCCTCCAGTTGTAGGTACAGCTGAACAGAACTGTGGGTTTGAACATAATCAGAGTAGAAAGTAGATATTGTGAGTGGGGGTGAAATGTCTTTCCTAAGGACACAACAACACTTTACAGCCACCCCACTATGGCACCTGGTGTTCCCAGAGGTCTCCCATCACAGTACTAATCAGGCAATGCCCTGCTTAGCTTCAGTGGTATGACTTTCACCTGCAGGTGGTGCTGCAAATAGCAATAATAATGTACTACATTTTCACCAACACAGATATGTCGCCTGGCTTTGTATATAATCCTTCATCCAAACATTATCTTCTGCGTTATATGCCCAGACTTCCCTTCCAGTCTCCACACACACTTCCTCTAACTCATCCGAGGGAATCCGAGGCGATCCCAGGCCAGCTGAGAGACACAGTCCCTCCAACGTGTGGGGGGCAGGAGTGACTGAGCTCCTCCCCCTATCTCTAAGGGAGCAGCGGCTCTACTCCGAGCTCCTACCATGTTATTGAGCTCCTCCCCTATCTCTATGAAACACTATTTCATTCATGTGGGCATCTACACACAATAGATAATTTGTTGTACAGTATATTTCATTGGCAGACAGAACTTACGTGTGCCACAACGGGGGCAGCACTCTCCGTCAGGAACTGTTGCATTAGCACACGGGATCAGGGGACACGAGATCTTACGACACACAGTAGCCGAATTCTGCAACAAACAAATCCGGATTAGAACCAGAGCATAAGCAAAACTCAGAAATCTACAATCCACTGACTGAAGTGTATGGAATATTGTTTGGAACACGAATAGGCACGATAAGTTCATTTGTACAGCAAAGTGCATCAGAACATGATAAAATTCAAAAATTAAAATATGAAAATCTAATTCTTAAAATCAACCCTGAATGTGACACGGAGCCAGTGGAGTGCAGCCAACACAGGGGTGATGTGTTCTTGTGATCTGTTGTTGGTGAATCCAAAACTTGTTGTGATTTAGGGCCATACACACAATTTCCAAGTGGTAACTTTTGTTACTTACGTGGCAATAAAAATGATTCTGATTCTGACACAAATACATTGAGTATATGTACGCTTTTTAAAACTCTGAGCAAAATTAAACTTGTTTAACATACGGAATATAAAAAATTACAATTGCAAAGTTTGGTACAACAAGATATTGTGCCAAAGTTGTGCAGGCCAGGTCAAAGTCCTGGTTCCATTCACTCTGGTCGCCTTTATTGCATTTTCTTTGGTCTCCCAGGTTCAACTCTCTCTGGTCTCTGTAGTTCCCTTCTCTTTAGTCTCCCTGGTTCCATTTTCTCTGGTCTTCCTGGTTCCATTCCCTCTGGTCTTCCTGGTTCCATTCCCTCTGGTCTCCCTGGTTCCAGTCCCCCTGATAGCCATGGTTCCATTCCCTCTTGTCTCCCAGGTTTGGCCGAGCTAATCGTGGCCCTCTCACTAACAAGCACCTGCTTTGAGTCCACTGAGCAGGAATGAAGCATAAAGGGCCTCAGTGTGGGGCAGCTGGGCTCAGGTTGCCTGTTCTCTGCGTGGATAACAAGTGCCTCCAAGAATGCAAGAGATCCTAGGTCCAATCACTGATGGAAACTGAGGTTATGTGTCTAGAATGAAGCTCCATCTGGGTTTAAGGCCCTCAAGACACTGTCTGCACCTGAGCGAGACATACATAGAAACATAGAAAATGAATGGTGAAAGAAGCTATCAGCTTGTCTTTTTCCTATTCTACAACCAGAGGGAGGAATACATTTTTGTTTCTGTGTTTACAAACAATGTAATTCCACTCGTGGAACACGCCATGGAGCCGTCCAGGAGGCATCCCAAACAGATGCTCGAGCCACCTCAACTTTCTCTCTTCAACGTGGGGAAGCAGCAACTCTACTCCGAGCTTCTCACGTGTGACTGAGCTCCTCACCCAATCTCTGCCCACGCGAGTTTCCACCGTAGAGTGGCTGGAGCGTCCAGCCACTCTGCAGAGGAAACTCGCGTGGGCCGCTTATATCTAGCCCATTCTGTCTTTACAAAAAGCTGACCAGAGATGAACAAGGGTGCGTAGAGCTCAACTGCAGACGCTGCTCCCTCATGACCAGAGGTGAGGGAGGGAAGGACAGCTTCTAATATATATTAATATGATCCACTTCCACACAACTCTCTCACAATGTTGTTTTAGTGCAGTTAATTGCAATGGAGTTTAAAGCACGGATTGTAAAGATGCTGACCTGACATGTGCACTCCGTACAGTCGTCCACGGTCCACTCGTCCTTGTTCTTGCGCACGATGCCGTTGTGGATGCAAACTCCACTGTGGATCCCAATGCGGTTGTTGATCAGCTTGTTTTCATCCGTCTGCAGGACAGACACGATAAGTGGAGGAAGCAGACCCTCCCTGCTCCAGCCTCTACAGTCCTGGTTTGACAGCCTCAGTCCTGGATCTAAACTCTCAGTCCTGGATCTACAGCCTCAGTCCTGGATTTACAGCCTCAGTCCTGGTTCTATAGCCTCAGTCCTGGATCTACAGCTTGAAATGTGGCTCTACTGCAGCGACATTTCTGGAGATAAGTCTTTCCCTTGGTGGTTTGTTGTTGGTAGGTTTCTAGGATACCGTACCAGATACTAAAGGATAATGGAAACATAACTAGGTAGGGTAAAGTTCAGTAAGCAAGTAGGGCTGGTGGAAACAGGGCTATGGCCATCTAAATTAAAATTTACCCGTACAATATACTTATTAAGTAGACCATAAAGAGTTGGTGTGTCTCTCACCAGTCGTCGCAGCTCGTTGGACAGCTCCTTCACCACCACACCCAGACCCTTCAGCTCCTTGAACATACTGATGAGGTCCTCACAGGAAAAGCCACACACCATCTGCAGATCTACAGCACCACAAACAGCGTTAAAACATACACATACACACATCCACATCCATACACATGACTCAAACACAACATCACCTTTCGTCTTGTGTCCGGTGAACTCTGTCCTGATGGCAGAAGAGCCATTGATGTTGTCCAAAAGCAAAGTGTCACTGGTTAGAGCTAAAATATAAGAAAAAAAAAATCTATAGTTATGTAGTCATTAGCTTAGCACATATTCAAGGGATACATACAAACAGACAAAAGCAGTGATTAGAATTGGATTCATTAATTGCAATAGTAATTCGCAAGACTCTCTCTTTGACCTGGCCCTTTGGTCTCTCAATTGGATCTTTGTCTGGTCTCTCTCTGTTCTTCCTAGACCCTGGTGATGGGAGCAAGAGAAGTGTTGAAGGTCTGGAGGACAAAGTAGTGATGGGGAGGAGAAGGGTTGCTGCACGATAGGAAAGCTTGATATAGGGCTGTTTTTAAATGCTGCCATTTGAGTGTGAGAGACTGATTGCTGATGCAACGCAGCAGTAGAGGGAGGACTGAAAGTCGTGAGCGTCATGCGTTTTTATGTCGGCTACACATACCATTTGTGATTTCTTGTATCTACATACTGTATGTTATTTCAGAATAATGACAACAGATATTGTCACAAAGTTATGACCAAACATGCACATGAGCTGCGTCATTCACTTAAAACTAAAAGCTGTCAAGTGGACTGTGTTGGTTCTAGTGTTAAAACCTACTTTTGATTATTTCGCCGTTCACAACACATCCCACACAAACGGCAGGTTTAAGGCAGAGTCATCCTTTGTCATAACTTTTAGCCTCTGGGTGTAATGGGGACATCATGGCTGTGGTTTTGATCAAGACTTAGATCAGACGGAGATTACTCACTGTTCTGGCAGCCTTTGTTCCGGAGAATTGCATCCAGAGTTGTTCCAAAGACGAAGCGCACATTCTGAAGGACCCCCTGCAGAAAACAGTTCAGACTCGGGTTAGGGTTAAGATTTATAGGTTGCATTACAAGGTTGATATTAGCTTAAATGTTCTGTTTGCTAACTCATTAGAAACTTCAAGGAAAAGATGGCATCAACAAGGTGATGTCACATGAATCTGTTGTGGTGGCTTCTTATAATGCAAATGTAAGTACTGTTAATGCAGTGGGCTGGTCTGGTCTCCAAAGGGACAAGAGATGATATTAGACAAAGTTATAACCCAGATACTCTACTGTACTCTACTCTAACATCAAGTTGAATGTCTGTTGTGTGTACTAATTCTAAGTTAGTGACTTCCTGTTACTTACAATGGAAATAAATAGAGTCTGATTCTCTACTCTACTTCACTCTACTTCTCTCAAATTTACCTGGCTGTGTTTCCATCATGCTTTAGTATCTGGTACTGTATCCTAGCAACCGACCCATAACAAACCAGCACCTACAGAAATTCCTTGGTAACCATGTCCTCCAGCTGTACTCTGTTCTAGCACTTTATTATCAGCTTGGCCTGGATGGAACCAAGGTCAAGAGAGTAGAGTAGAGTACATCAGAGTACAGTAGGGTCAAGGGCTGGTGGAGACGGGTCTTTGGACTCACCATAAACCGGTCCTTTACCGCACCCTTCCCAATCCTGAGCTGGGCATGGGTGGGTGTGTCCCGTGTCAGAATGCTTTGGATGGGCGCGTCCAGCTCGGCAGTGTTCACATCTACACAGCCCACATAGAGCTGGGCACGGTCTTCTTGCACCCACAAAGAGATGTTCTTCCAGTGCCCGGTCGCCAGGTCCACGTCTTCGATGGAAACCACTTGCTGCTTGTTTTCCGTGGACAGAACGATGTCCAAGGTATTGGCCTTCCCGTTGGAGATGATCTGGAACACCGGGCCGGACCCATCCTTCTTCTCAACCGTCAGCAGACTGCCGCGTGTGCGCTTGAACTGCTTGAAGTTGAGCAGGAGGAGGAAGCCGCGGTCGGAGTGGATGGTGTCGACCAGGTCTCTGAAGACGGGTTCTGGGACTGGGGGAATCAGGTCTGGGTTGAGGATCTTGTAGGCCGGGCTGTACGGGTCGTCCCCCTTCACCAGAGTGACCCCGTGGTTCTTCTTGGGCACCTGGACCAGCTCGAACAGATCAAAGACGCTGTCGTTGTCGTCACGAGTTTCTGCCGAGGCAAAAGTGCACAGTGTTGAGGCTGAGGGTTGGTGACCTCAAAACAAACACACAACTGAATACACAACAGGAGGAATAGTAGTCCACGTTTTTGAATTAATGTTCATATTTGTGCTAATTACACAAGAGAAATCCAACTGTGCAGAACTTTCAAATTATTTTTTTGAGCTGTTCTGTTGTTGCTCTGCTCCTGGTTCCACCTACTCTACTAGACTTTACTCTACTCCAGTGAGTCTGTATACTCTACTTATAACAGGGTCTTTTCTTTTTTACAAATTGAAATAATGTCTGTGTTTGTAAATAATCATACATTTTATCCAACCCTCCTTCAGCACATGTCAGCGCTGCCCTCTACTGGTGACTGTGGGAAGGCGAGTCCAACAAGGGCTAAAGGTTCTCGGAGGGGGCGAGTTCCTGATACTTGTGTGGATGAAGCTACAAACTACAGATATGTTTTCAATGAGGAAACAACAAAGATCTTCTGATCATTTTCTGCACCAATAATGATTATTTTAGCCTTTTCTTTTTTGTAAGGTTGCGTATGACAGGAGTGGACTTACCAAGTGTGACATCAACATAAGGTTAGCCTTAATGCTAAAGAGGCTGATTTCAACATAAGCTAGCTGGAGTAGTTTCCTTAAAAGAGCATTTATTCTGATGCTATTAGTGTTGTACCGTAACACTGGCAGACGCGTTACTATGGCGGTTTTTTAGGCAGACTGGAGTTTCCCCGCAAATGAAGGCCTCTGATTGTTTAAACCATATATGGCTCATATCTGGACTTACAAAGACAATATCACAATATAAACACCAGGGTCACAGAGAACCACATATTTTTTTCTCTCTCTTTGGTTTCTCTCTTTATGTTCTCTCTCTGGTCTCTCGCTGTTCTCTCGCTGTTCTCTCTCTGGTCTCTCTATGTGCTCTCTGATCACTCTGGTCTCTCTCTGGTCTTGTGAGTGGGACACAAATGGTTATTGAGCTAGAGAAGTTTACTTTTAGAGGCCAGAGCGAGTAAGAGCAAAACTTCTCACATGAGTACTTCCCTATTGGGATCAATTGAGCCAGCACGCTAGCATTGTCCATTTATATACAGCAGGGTGTTCAAACATTTTAGTAAGAGGGCCTCTTTGGTTCACCAGATTAGTCCAGGGGCCGACAGCACGGATTGAAAAACTGTCTTGACTGGCATCGGGCTATCTAAGCTTTAACATGATCTATAACAGAGCTGAAGTCAATAGCTGAAGTCAATAACTGAAATCCAGACGTACTGGGCTTTAGAACAAGTTATAACATGTCTATATTGGCTGAGCTGAAGTTAGACGGATGACACAGTGAACTTGTGTTTATGATCTCAAAGACTACTTTGGGTTAGCAGAGGGCCAGATAAAATGACACTGAGGGCCGCAAATGGCCCTCGGGCCTGAGTTTGGACATGCCTGATATACAGTGTGTGATGGTAACAATTTACCATCTCACACTATAGCAATCATAGTCCATCCAAAATGGATTAGCTCAACTGAATGTGAATCTGAATGGGGTTACAATCTTCATGTTTATGCACCAGGAAAATCCAACTTAATCATATATCAATATTTAAAATAAGTGTGCATGTTTCCTCCCCTGCAGTCAGCCTTTGTGGTGCTGCGGGAAACGTTTCACAATGCATGAAAAAGTGCTTCTCTTGTAGAACATAAATTAACGCAAAAATCAGGCATTACAGTATGTGTTATACTAAATGACCCTCTGCAGCAAACACAAAAGAGCCATTGGGGCACTTTCAGAGCGTCATCCAGCCAACTTCCACCAGTACAGTCAAGCTGAACGTTGATGTACAGTAACCCTCAGAACCCCTAGAATGCAGACATTATTGGGTGGCTGAGTGGATAGCAGCTCCTGGGTTCGAATCCCAGTCGGAACAGGGTCTTTCTGAGATATATATTAAAGCACAGAACAGCCTGAGTCCAGTAAAAAACAGTTTTATTTTCTGTGTTGTCGGCGCCTGGAAACGTCTGGTGAACTAAAGTGGGCCTCTAACTAAAATGTTTGGACACCCGTTCTTCATATAGACAGACCTAGACCAAACTAACATGTTGTATATATAAGGAGGACTCCCTCTTAAGTTTACAAAGTATTAATTGGAATTTGACTACAGAAGTAAGATTAAATTGTGGTGGTCTCTTCGCTGATTATGCATATAGTAAGTAATTATTATTATTATTCAACTATTTCCACCACCGTTAGTGTAAGAGAAGACAGACTCACCTGCGACCCGGGCGCAGTCACAGGTCCAAAGCATCAAGAGCAAAAATATCACCAGCTTCATGTTCATCTGCTGTCTGCAAACAACATACAGAGGTCAGCAACAGCACCACAAAGAACCACAACAATAACCAAGAGCTGTTTCATGTCACATAAACCAAAAATAGTTAAATGTAGCACATGATACACTCCAAACAAAGCTGGGAAATGTAACTTTCAAACCACAAAAAGTAAACTGTCATTAAGCAATTCCGGCGACAGTGGCTCATTTGGAAGAGATTGGTCTTAGGGTTTGAGGATTCGATTTCCTATTATATCTGCTCCCACTAATGTTTGCTGTTGTTGTGTCCTTGGGCAAGACACATAAACCCCACTTTGCCTGAAGCCCCCGCTGAAAAGCCAAGGCTGTGTTGTTGCTGACGGATCAACCGTTCTCCTGCAGGAGGATTAGTGAGGAGCTGGTGCTGTGAGGATTGGGTGGCAGCTTGGATTGCCACCAACCCGACCCAGAAATGATTCAATAAAGGGGATGAAAATAAATGAATGAATAGACAAGTTTCTTGCTAATAAAATAAGTAAAGAGGGACCAGAGAGAAACCAAAGAAAGAAACAAGAGAGAGAGCCTATAGGAGGGTCAGAGAGAGAGAGAACCTGGAGATGACCAGAGAAATTTACTAGAGAGACCCGAGATTAGAGAGGGACCAGAGAGAGACCAGAGATGCATGTGTTTTGGGCCTCTGTCACACCATCAGATCATCTTTTGCAGACAGAAAAGAAAAAAGTGTCACTCAACCAATCAGCTCTCAGTCAAATAGTGAGTTTTCTATCACGTTTGCAAAAGATAACATGTTTAATAATCTAACCTATAAGACAAAGACAGCTAGATGTGATCTTTTACTTTTACAAGACTGTTTTTTTGTAAAAAGTAATATATTTATATTTCTTTACAGAATATTACAATATAAACTGTGATATTTATGAATGAAACAATTTAGGTAGGCCAACTTTAAATCACTCACCTGCCCACACAACAGCAGAGCCACTGTAGAAATTCAAATATAACAAAAAATATATAATATATAAATCCCCCAAAACGCAATAGAAATCCAATATTAATCCGTGTCTGGAGCGTGTGTGAGTAGTTCCCAATGAAGCGAACCCGGGTGGGTTGTGAACCTGTGCGTCCTGCTGCGCGTAAAACACCGTCTTATTTCTGCGCACGGGACAAAGTGCGATTTAAATAGTTTGATGCCTTTCTTCAGAAGTTCTCCTGTCCAATCAGAGAACAGAGAGCTAAGGGACGAGAGAGGAGAGAAGGGAAGGAGGGGGAGAAGGAGAGGAGGAGGACGAGGAGGAGGAAGTGGAGGGGGGGGGGGGGGAGTGGTTTTGGACACAGGCGCACGGTTCATCTCGTCCGTGCGTAAAGGCTTTTTGGGGGGATTTAGTGCGTTTCCTCTCACGGTGAAAAGGAGCAGCATCCAAACGGGGCACGTGTTTCCACCTCCCTCCTCCTCTCCTTCCTCCTCCTCCCTCCACCTGCCTCCTCCTCCTCCTCTCCTCAAGAATGCCTCCAGCGGCATAACATAATATATAGACAAACAGTGACTGAATATACTGTTTGGGATCGCACGGTTATATTACAGTAGGGCAGAGATTATTTGAAATGTTTGGCGGACAGGTGTATGTGATGATTGTTTTAAATGTTTCCCTGTGGGTCTTATATGTATGCATATACATGCATGTGTTTTTTGTGTGTGCATGTGTCATTGTAACTTGCTACTGCCAGAAAACCAATCCTGCACATACTTCATTTTACCTTTCAAGTTTTATCATTTAGGTTTTCTGTTTAGTGTCCCACACAACTTTAACATGCGACCTAAGTTCTAACGCTGGTGTTGTGTCCTTCATAAACATGTCCTGATGCTGATGCTGTCACATGCTGTACCGGCCTCTGCCGCCAGGGGCCCCAAGCGCCACACTGCAGCAGGACGCGTCCCACTCAGGTCAGTGATGTCACCAAGAGTTTGTGAATGGAATATGACTATATAGGTGCGCAGGTGGACTACTTCTACTACTCCTATATATATTTGAGCTAAATGTTAAGATAAGTCTGGGTGAACCTTAAGAGGTTAAAAGATCTGTTTGCACCTGGAGTTCTGTCAAACCTTATGAATACTTATTACCTCCGTTTAGACCGTCAAGAGACGTCAAGTTTTACCCTACTGATGATGTGTTGTTGCAATACCTCTAAAGGTTCACATTAATCAGGTACAAGAATACAAATGAGCAATATTTATTCATTTTTATTTCAACTTTAAGTAAACTCATACACATAATCCGTAGATATATTAAGAATAAAAGAGCACACAATTACATATTTACAACCGTTCATCCATTACTTGTCGGTCCGTGTACTTTTGCGTTCATTACATTTTCTATTTTTGAAGGGAAATGGAAAATCATAAAAAGGCTATTTTGCACATTCAGGCACATGACAATATACAAAAATTACCATTTTGGTTTTTTTCATTGCTTGTAAGACATGTTTATTATAATAACCGGATTTGCAAACTAGAAAATGCAATAATGAACCTTTTTTATCAAGTATTTAGTACATTTTGTTTCAATCAATTATCCAGAAGTGAAACAAGTTTTGATCCCGTGCAAATCTGCATGTCAGTGATAATGATTGCTATGGCCGCTTTCTCTTTACTTTCTGCGTTGGTTTTTGTCAATGAGCAGAGGAATCGCGTAGACTGTAAATATTACACAGCTGCAGAGTCGCGGCTGCTGCTGTCCCTGTGAGGTCTACGGAGAAGTGTACAGGACATTATAATGTGTTCACTGACACAAAATGATCAGATGGGGATGGACCCGGAATAAGAATTAGCCAATGCTAACATATAGCATCTTCTTACCTCTGGAAAACGTCTTTACAGGATGGTCCAAAAGTTGGCTCTTGGCCCAAAGCTCCGTTCCACATGTAGTAGTAGTAAGTAGTAATCTTTATTTATATACCGCCTTTTCACTGCAGATCTGAGTCTCAAAGCGGTTTACAATTGTTAATTTTTTGGGAATTTGTCTCTCACTCCACACAGAGATGGGAGAGGGGCCAGTACAGGAGGCACATGCTAGAACTATTGGACATATTTTTAGTGGTAGGGGAAACCGGAGTACCCGGAGGAAACCTACGCAGACACGGGGAGAACATGCAAACTCCACTCAGAAAGGCCCTGGTCCAACCGGGATTCGAACCCAGGACCTTCTTGCTGAGAGGCGAGAGTGCTATCCACTCAGCCACCGTGCCGCCCACATGTGTGTCAATGCTGAGGGGGGTGAATTTTTTTGGACAACTCTAGTTTAGTCACTGGGATTTTTTGAAGGCACTCCTTAATGGGGCTCATGCCGACCGACGCATAAGCAGACGCGTTTTTTCACATCTTCCAGCCCCCGCGGCCATTTTAAAATGGCAGATAGGCCACGGAAGTTGTAGCACATTAGTTAGAACGGCAGAGATAGGCGTGACTACGTCCGTTAATATTTACGGTCTATGGTTTTGAAGCTTTTGGTGTGAACACAGCTTTACAGGTGAGGGGGCGGGGCTTAGCCACTGTTCAAATCTCAACCGCTAGGGTCTACAGGCTCCAGCACAACCTCGCTGTCTCCTCCCGTGGTAACTCCAATAACATGTTTTTCACGGTATATAATTAATTTGATACTTAATCCAAGCTGCTGAGCAACTGCTAGAGGTTCTACCAATTGCAGTGTTTGAACTTTGCAATTAAAGTTTGCTTCGAGGTCCAACCAGCTGGTTTGCAAATTTAGCTTGTACGTTTCACAATTTCAGTTAGCAGTAAGTACAAAACACACCAGACACTTTACCACGGACATATAACTAACAAACTAATACTGTGTTCTCTTTTCCAGCCGCCAGAGCTGATCGCCAGCAGATTATCGGGTTTTATTGTTTGCTAATGTTATCATTTGTTGACTGAAAATGGAGGAAATTCAGGTAAAAGCAGTGGGGGCGTGTCCCAGCTCAAAAATGTCCAAAATGACGTGCACTGACATGCTTTCAATACCACCCTGGGCCGATAGCGGTGGACCTGCCACTGTAAACCCTAACTTCAATCGTACTTCAGATATCAAAGTTATTTTAAATAGATTTTTCCCAGTAAGTAAATATTACTCATTTATTGTTAGTTTATTCAAAGCTTGGCTATATCACTCAGGGTTTTCTTTGAATTGAACTGTTTCTGTTCAAGTAAGCCTCACTTTTGACATTTTGACGTGTAGACTCTTTAATGAGGCAGGTGTGACAATGGCAGGGTGGCCTGGTGGCTGAGCGGGTAGCACCACCTCTCAACTACAGGGTTTTGAGTACGATTCCCGGTCGGAGCATAAGAAGGAATTTAAACTTTATTGCAATCACTTGAGTTACTTGGTAATATCAAGTAAAGGATGTACTCGAGTAATTCAAGTGAAGTTAATACGCAATTTATTTGCATGGTTTTTTCAAGTAAACTTTACTTGTCAGGGTTTACAGCAGGCCAGTTTAACCCCCTGCCAGAATATACCCGGGTATAAAGTAGCCTAGGCCAGATTTCACCCCGGGGTTAAAATAGCCTAGGCCAGAATATACCCCAGGGTATACAAATTGCTGAACAAAATATTTTTTAGATGGTAAAAAGCCGCTGATGTTACTGATTTTATGTGGCTAATAAAATGTAAGTCTGAGTCCAGTATTACCCCTAGATTTCTGACCTGGTTTGAAGGTTTTAGGGAGAGAGACTGTAGGTGACAGATGACGCTCTCTCTTTGTTTCTGGGGACCAAAGACAATCATTTCAGTTTTGTCTGCGTTTAGCTGAAGGAAGTTGTTTTGCATCCACTCACTGATCTGTTGGATACAGTGAAGGAGTGAGTCCACTGGTCCATGTTCTCCTGCAGTCAGTGAGACATAGATCTGAGTGTCGTCTGCATAGTTGTGATAGGACACTTCGTTTCTGCGTATTAACTGACCTAACGGCAGCATGTAGAGATTGAACAGAAGAGGTCCCAGGATCGACCCCTGTGGTACTCCACAGGTCAGGGCCATATGATCTGAGACATAGTTTCCAATCTCCACAAAGTACTTCCTGTCTTCAAGGTAAGACCTAAAACAACTTAGGGCGGTGCCAGCGACACCAACCCAGTCCTCTAGTCTCTGTAAGAGGATCTCATGGTCGACAGTGTCAAAGGCAGCACTCAGATCTAACAAGATTAAGATTGAGACTTTGCCTGCATCAGTGTTCAGCCGGATCGTTTGTAACCTTAACAAGAGCAGTCTCAGTGCTGTGGTGGGGTCTAAAGCCGGACTGAAACATGTCAAATGAGTTGTTGATTATAATAATAATAATAATAATAATGCATCGGTTTTATATGGCGCTTTTTTGGACACTCAAAGACGCTTCACATGTGTCATTATTCATTCACTCCATACACGGTGGTGATAAACTACTACTGTAGCCACAGCTGCCCTGGGGCACACTGACAGAAGCGAGGCAACCAGTATGCGCCATCGGCCCCTCCGATCACCACCAACCATTCATACACACACCAGACTCATTCTAGGCAATGGGGGTGAAGTGTCTTGCCTAAGGACACAACGGCAGTTTGGCACTTTACAGCCGCAGCCGCCCCACTGTGGCTGGTGTTCCCAGAGGTTAAGTGTCTTGCCAAGGACACAACGACAGTAGTCAGTGGGAGTCGATGGTGAAAGTCTTGAGCGGGGCTTGAACCCACGACCTTCTGGCTTTCCCCATAAATGGCAGATTTGAGATGGGACAATAGTTGATAAGTACCGTAGCATCTTCTTTTCGTAGAGGCCTGATGACTGCAGTTTTCAGGGCCTTTGGGAATATTCCAGAATGAAGGGACATGTTTACTATCTGTGTGTGAAGGTAACAGACTGCTCAGAACAGACTTCAGAAATCTAGTGGGTAGTACATCCAGGCTGCATGTGGAGGAGCTCAAACTGGAGATTATCTCTTGGACACAGCTCTTTGAAAATGGCGTTTTTGATGCCTTGAACCTTGTCATTGAAAAAATGTGCAAACTCATTGCATTTACGTTTGGAAGTAAGCTCTAATGGAAGCTGAACAGGGGGGTTTGTTAATCTATTAACTATTAAGAACAGAACACACAGATTGTTATTGCAGCCTTCAATCATTTCAGAAAAATACCTTTCTCTCGTACTACGTAGCACCCGGTTAAACCCGCGCAACTAATCTTTGAAGATCTCGTAATCAACCTGGAGGTTGGACTTGCGCCACTTCCGCTCGGCCCTCCGGCACACTCTCTTCAGTGCTCTGACCTAGTCTGCTTTAGCCCATGGCGCCTTCTGCTTATTTTTCACTATTTTAACCTTCACAGGGGCAACGGTATCCAGAACATTCAAAACACTAGAGGTGACAGAGTTAAACAGTTCATCTACAGTAGAATGTGTTAGTGAAACACATGTAAAAAAATACACAGAAAAGATCCGAAAGAGCAACATTGACCACGTTTACATTTGAAATATTCACCCCCTTAGTAACTAA